ACTGCAAGACGCACCTTAACCTGACTTAAATTACAAGAAGTAACATTTGCAGATTTTTACCTCTGTCCTGTAATTGTGCTATGGTAGCATCAGCCCATGGTATATTGGCTGTATGTTTTGGGAAGTCTGAGATGGAAAAAGAAAGGACTGGGATAAGCTTTGCAAGTAGATGGGAAAGGACAATTTGCATGCAATCAGGCCCTGTTTTGTCATAGCTTCCATTCCTAATTTCCATAATTATCATGGCATAATGTTTTCCCTTCCCTTTTGTTAAAACCTGGGGTTTCGCTTGAGTACCGGACACCTAGTAACACTTCAGTCTCAGTTCAGAGGTGTGCAAGAGGTAGAACAGCTGCTCTGCTACACTGCCAACAGCCAGGAAATGCCATGTCACTGCCATTCCTGCCAGCCCACTTTGCACAGCCCCGTGTGCCACTGGGACCTATGGGAAACAGGGTCCCCTGGAAGAGGCTCTCTGTTCATTCCCTTCACCAGGACTATGTTGGACTGAGAGGTGTCCTTGCTGTTGTCCATGCCATGCTGACTCTGCCAGTCTTTGCTCTCCTGGCATTCACATCTGTGCCCCTACTGGTCTCTACCATCTGGCTGGGGATCACTTACTCCTTTGCTACTGGGAGTTCCCAACTGTAGCTGGGCCAACATTCCTACACCTGGATGGCATATTACTGCTGCCCTGGTTTCCTGCTGAGCAGGTTTCACAGCCACAGTTTGAAGTCACTGACTCTGCAAGCCTTACTAAGACATCTTTGCTTAGTAAACAAATAACCCTAAAGAATCAACATGAAGCAGAAGGCAGAGCACAGAGCAAACAGAGTTTGAACATCTCCATGGATGGAGATTCTGCAGCGTCTCTGGGCCACCTGTCCCAGTGTCTGACCCCTTGCAGGAAAAATGTATGTCCTTGTGTTCAGATGGAATTCTGTGTGGTTTCCCTTGTGCCCATTGCCTCCTGTCCAGAGCAGAGTCTGGCCCCCTCATCCTTTCTTCCTCCCAGCAGGTACTTGAGCACATTGGTCAGATCTCCCAGAATCTTCTTGAGCAGCCCCAGTTCCCTCAGCCCCTCCTCCTGTGACAGATGCTTCAGTCAGTCCCTTTATCACCTTTGTGGCCCATCACTGCACTCCCTAAATCACATCTGTCTTGTACTAGGGAGGCCAAAGCTGCACCCAGTGCTCCATGTAAGGCCTCATCAGTATTTTAACACAGCTGGCAAGTCAGACTCCTGCTAGATGGTGGCTTCAAAATATCCTTAAGGCCTCCAGTTGCTGCACTACTCTTCAGTGCTGAAATCCTGCACTTGCACTTTTTCAGAGGAAAAATCTCATGATGAATTTCCAGCTGTAACTATGAAAAACCACATGCAGCAGGGCTGTAAACAAACATTGGGGAATTGCAAACAGAAGAAAATATGTGTTTAGAACTGATTTGTATGTTAATACCTTGACTTAAAAGCAGTTACTTCAGCCTGGTCTGCTGAAGCCATCAAATTTCTTAGTTTATGCCATGTGATGCAGCAGCTAAATGCAAAGGGGGTTGGTGCTGTGACAAGTGCTGGGATAACCACTCAAAGTCCTGTACTTACTCCTTCATGGGAGAAGCTCGCTCAAAAGCCAGCCACTCCTGTTTGAGATCCCACATCTACCTCCAAATTACTAGAAAAGAAACTCCAGTCCTCTGTTTTGAAGAAGAGTTGACATACTTTCCTTAAAGTCTGCCAATGGTTAACAAGATTCTCATTGGTGTGGTACCAAAACCTCAGTGCCTGCTCTGCTGGGTGTCACTGGGAAGCATTCCTGTCCCTCTCCTGTGTTCACTGCCTATATAGAGAACTTCTGTTGGATAGAGAGGGTTTTATAGAAACCATCGAGCAAAGATCCTTGCACTTGCTTGCAAAAGCCCTGTCACAGAATCTGAAGATGTAGGGACATCCTGGTGACCTTTGGATCTCTTGCACAAAGACCATCTTCAAGGTGGGACGACTCTACTGGAGCCTCTCACAGGCAGAGTTCTTCTGGACAGACTGCTGCTGTCTTTCAGCTCAGATGGATAAAGCTCAAAGCTGACATAAGAGTAGGGAGGGAGATGATGACCCTTCCTTGAACAGTACCTGCTCACCTCTACTGGGCACACTGACCGCTTAATCTTACTAAGCTGATGACCAGGAAGCCACCTTCACTTTGCTGGTTGTCCCCATTTTTGCTGGACACCTGCAGTGGGATACCAGAGCTCAGCTCTAAGCTTTCAAAAAGGCAATTGCAAGGCTCTCATACTTTGATTGAGCTTGTCATGGAAATGAAAGGGTGGCATGCATAGAGGTCAATATGCTGCAAGAAATGGAAGGAAACAATCAGGGTTTTTTTTGTTTAACATTTGTAGTGTCACACTGATCATAATTATGGGTAACTGAAACCCCCTTACACTGTCCCAAACCTTAGACAAGCTGGGCCTTAACATTTAAGCTGCACATATTCTCTGGCAGAACATTCTTCTTGCCAAAGACACAGTGGATTGAGACTCATAAAATATAGACTGAAGCCTGAAAGTGGACATTAGTTCATGTAGTTCACACTTGGACGTGTGCTGCCCTTCATGCCCAAGTGCATGCTCCCAGCAGCCAGGAGGTTAAACATTGATACAGTAGAGCACACATTTATGTAAGTCTGTGGGACAAGACAGTGGAGAAAAAGCCATCATTTTTATGATATTCATGAAGAACCTGGCATAATGATAAGTTCCCATTACTTCAACAGGCCCCTGTGCTTCGGACACACCTGGACACAGAGCGAGCTATGGTTTTGGCTTTAGTGGCACACAGCACACACCCAAGCAGCAGCAGAGGAGGGGTCACAGAGAAGTCAAAGGCAGCACAGATACTATGTCAAATATCCATATATGTAGGGGGGAGGAGGAAAGCATTGGGTAAGAATCAGAAGGCAGCTGGACCTAGAGAGGCTGATAAGTAAAGCAAATTCCTGCATTCTTGCTGGCTATGGAGACTACTTTGATCTGCTTGAGGAAGAAGAGGTTGTCCTGCTAGCAATACAAAGAACTTGAAAGAAAGGGAAAACCAATTCAAGATGAAACTGTCTTAATTCCCAGAAGCAAGATGAAACTACAAAAGTGATCAAGACTACTAATTTAGCCCAATAATTTAAATCTACCTATTCCTGCTCACCAACTACTTTCAAAGGGAGAAGTGGTGACTGGGCATAGCCTAGGCAGCCAGCTTAGCCTGCTGGGAGGCTTCTAGGCATCACTTTTTGGCCAGCGATGAATTGTTACCCAGTCCACTTCTTGCACAGCTGATAAGCAGTAATGACAGAAACATTATGACCAAATCTCCTCCCAGTCAGGATGCTGTCACTTGTCTTTGCTCCTTAAGAAACAATGGAAAATTCCAGCCTCAATGACATTTAATCCATCACCCTTTCCACAGGGAAGTGATACATCGTTTCAGCACAGCTTCAAGCTGAAATTCAACAGGAGACACATCAGGGGCTTGGACAAATCACTGGGTGGTCAGCTCCACCACAAAGTCACCCAGATAGCCAAGACACTTGGACATCCATACACCACTGTGATCATATTGTACATAAGCAACTCTGACAGCCTTCCAGGGAACATACTACAGCAGTTACTCATTTAGTGCTTAAATAACTATCTCCACACATCACTACTTTATGTATCTTCTCTCACTAGACAAGCCCCAAGAACGAACTTTGGATATTCCAAGTCTGATTAGCCAGTATAAATAATTCAAAAAACTCACAGTTATGCCGCTTAAAACACCAACAGAGAGGACATTAATCTTCCTCATTGAGAGTGCAATGCAGGATGTGATGCAACAGAGGGACAGTATCAGATCATGCTTGCTTAAAAGGTTTTGTACAGTAGTCAGAAGTCTTCACAGGGAAAAACATGCATGATCTGGGTTAACTGGCACACATGGGGATCAGGAGTGATGACACACTGCAGCTGGGCAGTTCACTAGAGCCTGAGGTCTTGTACAGGACAGACATGATGACATATTTAGGGACTAAGCAACACATGTGCCTAGAACCACACACTACTCATGAAAGCATGCAAGCCATCCTTTAACCACTTCCTAGGCTAAGCTCACTATGGACACCATACTTTTCCTTCCCAGACTGAAGCAGCAACTCTGATAACATTCTGTCCCAAGTTACAAACCAGTAGTTTCGGGGAAAGCCATGAGGTAACACACACAGCTGCAAACTGGAGCTATACTGCAGTCTACTGTTGGCTGCAGCTCAAAGGAAAAACAGTACTTCATTGCTAATGTGCTATCTAGTGAGGACATTGCCACATTCCCATGCTATGCAGATCCCACCTGTTGCAGTGTCATTTCAGGGTTTACCTCAGAAACCCGGGTCCCTCCCCCGAAGATTCCCTGCCAGGTGTGTCAATCATCCTTCCTTTCCCCACCCTGACCCGTGCCAAGGACTGTCTCTCAATCCTGGAATTCCACAGGGGCCTCGGCAGATTCAAAGCATGCCCTGTACCCCTGGGGGGGCATTGGGCCATCCAGGAGTCCTTTGTCCCTTAAGACCTCCTCACACGTACCTGGTTGGTGGCTTCCTACCCCTTCCCTCCCCCTCTCCCCCCGGGTAAAAGGGCAGGCAACCATGCACTCTGGGAGTTCTGTTGGAGCTGTTGCTGCATTCAGAGGCCTGTGGGCCAGAAAAAACACTCGGGATTGAAACCCTCCATCAGAACCGACTCCTTTCCTTCACCATCACCTAAAAGCTTCTCCATCAGAGGTAACCCTAAAGAGCACACCCTCTTATGGGAGGAAGCTCCATCCCGCAGCCACCAGAGCCCTGGCATGCCTGGACACGTCTCCACGCACCCAGGCGTAACACCCAGCTAGCCAAAAGTGTCTCTGGGCTGAAACACCACAGTTACCGCTAATTGGTTCAGCAGCAACAGCCAGACAAGCCAAGGAATGCCCTGTACAGCAATACTGGTAAAAATACCAATACCCACCCAAACTGTACATGCTTCAGAGGAGAGTTCTGAACTGTAAATGGCCAAACACAGAAGTCACTGCAGGAGTGAGGGCTGGCCCAGAGGCTGTGAGAGCATCACAGCCTGGAAGTTCAGGGATGAATGCCACAGACACAACATCCCGGCAGAGAGGCCACTGTGTCCAGCTCACCCAGAATTACAATATCAGTAGCTGAAGTTCCCTCCTCTGTCAGCCAAGGCAGTCTGGCACATGAAGGGTGTTTTATGCACTCACTAGAAACACACAAGTGAGGGTATGACTTCTCCACATAAAGAATATCCCTCGCTCAAGGGGAATTACTATGTTTTTCTACAAATAGCCTTAACTATTTAAAATATTTGAATATTTATTCTATTTACAATATTGCTGAAGAACATAACAGAAGCCCAGCATGGAACAGAACATCATGGAATGATGCCCACAAAAAGGCATTAAGCTGAGCTCTTGCTACTGTACTACCCCCCTCCCCAGGGATAAGAGGTGTCTGTCTCATGGGCAGCCTTGGGCTGGATGTCACAGCTCCTGAGCACAGTCCCATGTACAGAAGGCCTGAAAACATACATGCAATTTTTCCCATTTCAGACCATAAAATTCACCAGTGCATCTATAGTGAAATACAGTACTGACCAATTTATAAAAGCAGGCATCTGTAGCACACAATAAAGTAACAAAATACTTGTTTATTGGTAACTGCACGTTCTGTCATTTGATTTCCAATCCCCTTCTGTCCCAGAGAAATGCTCAGATCAATCTTACATGAAGAACTGAAAACATTGTTTCCATTTCAAAGAAAGAAATACAAGAAATTTAACATAGTTTAACTAATTTAAGGCCTAGTTAAAATTTGCTCTTTAAAGGACAGGCACTGAAGCCAATGCACATTAGGTACTAAATATTTCCTACACCAGTTTGCTCTGGTGTAGGAAGCAGCCTCTGGTTGCTTTTCTATGTGACAGCTTCCTGTCAAGTACTGGAACAAGGAACTGAAATGGCTAATGTGTCTGAGACTCAGACAGAGGCTGGAGAGCACAGACTCAGGAGGAGGGGCTAAGAAATAGATATTGGGAAGTAACATAAGTTCATTCCAGGGCTGCAGTTTGAACTACTGCCTTGTTTTCCTGGGGGAAAATTAACAGGCAGCTCCAAACCAATCTGAAAGGTACAAAGGCATTTGAATCCCTACTTGCCATGGCTGTTTCTATCCCAGCACTGCCCCTATGTTTCACTATTTGAAAAGGCAGCTAAGTCTTAAAACAGTCACCCACAGCTGCTGACACAAGGGAGCTGAGCAGCCTAGGAAGCATTACAATCACAGAAAGGTTTAGCACCAGGCCCAGCATCCCATCTCAATGGCAGCAGTTCTCAGGGAATGTGGGCTAGAACAGCAGTGGATATACACAATAAGGCCACTTGTTCTTTGGTGTACCTGAACAATGCCTGTTTTGATATGTCAGATTTAAAAGATCAGTATTCAATATATTTAACAGAAAGCACCTAGAGATAACATTCATATATCAAAGCTCTGGATATGATAATAAAATCCATTCAGAGAACAAATCCTCCCCCAAAAACATCTGTGCAAAACATGCACATCTTCCAAACATGATTTATGACAGATTTTAGTAATACAAACCTTCTGTTTGTGCTGGCTTTGATTTTCCAACTAAGGTAATCTACATCAAAATCAACTACAACTCACATAGTTGGGGAGAACTCACATAGTTTTCCCAACAAAAATCTGAGACAGTCAAAGGCAAAGATAAGGCTGATGCAAGACAGAAGAATTCACTAACAGACTCAGCACAGGCAAAACCAACAGGAAATTCACTGTGGTGGAGACAGGAGAACTGTCCTGGTTTCCACAGGGAGCCAAGTGAAAACCTGTGAAAGCCCTTTCTACAAAGGCTGGGTCAGAGAGACCTGGCTGACACCTCAGCATATGCTCCATGGTAAACTTCCAAGTTGCCTCTGTTCAAAGAGTACCATAAAGCTATTGTTTGCATCCACATTTTTACCAGAAAACATACAAGCACTCAACTGGAAGCACCTACACGAAACACCAAGTTGGACTGCCACATGTGAAGAACTAGTTACAGTAATCAGCAAATTACTAAAAGCATTCAAAAGACCTGAATACTTAGGCAGGGGAAGACCACAATCCTTACAAATATATGATTGTTTAGGAGTATAAAAGAAACTTTCAACATATTTTGTCCTTGAATCAGCAATCATGTGCTGCAAGCAAGAAAGGAGAAAAAGAAGCAATAACTGAAGACACTCTGAACCATGTCAGCACTACTTGTTCCAGCGGAACACATTTACAGTCACATGACTGCAAGTCAGCTCATGCTGCATCCCATTGCCCAGGGGAAAGCCCAGCCTACCTGCTGTACTCCAGAATCTTCAAATGCGACCTTCAGGCCCCTTCCCATTCACCATGTTTGACGTGTTGACTCTACGGAAGCCTGATTCTACAAGAGCGTCCTGAGGCACAAGCTAGCTAGTTATGTTCTTACCTAACAGTCTGAGGAACTCACCACTAAGTAGCACTAATTTTTCACAAAGTTACACTAATGTCTGGCTCTGCCACCCACCCAGGCAGGCCAGTACTCACATCTCCCACAAAGCACCCATTCCCTCCCCAGCCTTTCCTCCCAAATCTCCAGATTATCCTTCCTACGTACTCTAACATGACCCTCATTCATCTGCCTAAGAATCTATTCACAAGCAATAGTGTATTAACTGACCTCACCGCCACAGACAAGAGCTTCTCCATTAGGGACAGTGACATGATGACCCTAATAGAATGCAATGCTGGATTTCCCCCCTGGTGGATTGAGGACTTTGTTGTGTGAGCGTGGCCTTGGTCCTAGTCGGGGCTCATGATTGTCCATCTTGGGTTCTGGCTCCTTGCATTGCTCCTCTTTGCCCAGAGCTTTTTTCTCGCCTCCGTCTTCCAGGTGTGGTTTGGTATTTTCTGTAGCTACGTTAAAGAAAACATAATAGATCATCAGATCTCTCACTATTCTGTAGTGAACAAAGTGCCTCATCCTCTGTCGCTGCATTTTTCCCACATCTCCCATCCACAGCACACCCAGGTTTCTCATTACCTGGTCATTTTTCCTGAAGGAAACATGTAGTAAGAAAAGAATTTCACTTTTCACAATTATTCCTCTCTTCTTTCAGCAATCTTTCTAATATTTCATATCCTTTCTAAGGATATAAAGACTGAGCAATACACCTTCAGAATTATTTTGGCAGTTGCAGGCAACTAAGAGATACAACGTACCAAACAATCTTTTCATACTGAGCTTGAAAGCAGGGATCCCATAATTCTTTAACAGTTAGTTGAGCAATAATAAATTTTGTCAGTCAGCTATTTATTATTTACAACTACAGAAAGCCAAAATTAGCCATTTGAAGGAGATGGCAAGAGAGGAAGTGGTAATCTGATGTTTTGCCATATACAGATTCCATACATATTTGTATATACACACACATGGTATCAAGCAAAGTCTAAACACAGAGACACAGAGTATCACAACTCACGCCTGTGCTCTCCTCAGTAAGAGGAAGAGAACCATTTCTCTGAGACAAACAATTAGATTTCTGACTAAACTTTTCAGTCATATTATCCTAAAAACATGAGACTAGGCTAATGTTTAAGCAGAAGGACAAGAAACTTCCTCATAGCTTATCTTCCCAACGGGAACAAAGAAAAGAATTTCTCTTGCTGACCTTCTAGCTTCTTTGGTATTTCCTCTTCTTTTAAGACAATGTGATCCTGCAAAGAAATCAAAAACTATCTTAGTGTATCATTGTTCTCAAACAGCAAGTCTGCCACAAAATCCTTCTGGAAATTTTGCTTCATTTTTAAGTTTATAAATCACTGATCAAATAAAAGCAAGCTGTGTGCAGCCCTTCATCCCTTCCACTTCTACAGAACCCCAAAAGCAGGGGAACAAATCTTCTATGTTATGGCAAGATGCACATCTCAGACAATTCATTAAAACATAGATGAAGAGGCTACATTAAATCATCAAAATGTAAGCACAGCAGTGGTGGGTTAACTGCCAGACAATTTTAGAGGCCTTCCCCAACCTTAAGGATTCATTGATTTTAAGATCAGGAATTACCCTTTTTGTCAAGTACCTGCTATCACACAGGACAAGCTGATACACACAACTATAATACAAACAGCCCTTGAAGACCCTATTTGTATGCAACAATTCCTGTCTTCACCAAGTATCCCAACAGCCAGGTAATAATCAAAACTTTTTAAGACCATTTCCCCAACAATCTGAACTGACTGTTGGAAATACACACCCACACTTCAGAAAAGTGTGTTTTCCCACACATAAAACTCAACTCGCATGTCTTCTTTCCAGCTCACTACCTCCCACAATTCCAATGCTCTAATTAATAACATAAGAAATTCCACAATGGTGTCTTCAATTTAGTCAGGAATTATTGGGAATTAAAGTTACATTTCTAAAAAAGTAGCTAAAAAGAAAGTGCAACCATCCCAATAAAGGGGTACAGAGAAGCAAAGCAAAGCCCTCTCCTACACCAACAGCACTACTCCTGTCAGAACCTAGATCCCAATCTTATTTTTCCTCCTCATCTTTTCATATGGCCCCAGATATTACTCAGAACATGCAAAAAAAAAAAAGCACTCTACCAACACCTCAAATTTAAGGGGAAAAAAACAAAGGCAAGAAAGGTAAATTGGACTGATCCTCTTTTCCTAAGCTTCAGGAAAAACTAGACACATTGTGTTTTCAGCACAATGACAATTTCTGTCCTGGTTCCAGTCAGTGCAGGTTAATTTTTGCAGTAGCCAGTGAGGGCATGGCAGGGACCTGAAGCTTATTCTAGACCACATCATGTGCAGGGTGTGGGGTGAGCAGTGGTGGCTGAGCAGCTGGGGTAGAGCTGTGTTCCATGTGGCAAGCCCCCACGTGTGAACTGTTCATCCTTCCTGTACACTCCATTAGTAATTTTGTTGCTGTTACTGTTCTTTTCTTATCTCATTGCTATTTCCAGTAAATTGTTCATATAGCAACCCATGATTTCACCTTCTACCTCCAATTTCCCCCCAGGGGGGTGGGGGAAGGAGGAGGGGAGCATGAGTGGTGCACGTTTCAGAGTATTTTCAGTGGGAACACTAAACTGGGGAATACCATTCCTAAACCACAGCAGTTTCATAGAATGTTAAATTTCCATGTTATTTGATGTGCCAGAAATATTATCATCCCAATAGCTACTCACTTATTAGTACTTAGAGTAGGGGCAGCAGGTTGTAAATCTGCATATAGGGCACTTAAATACAGTAATTGGTAACATATCCTGCTTTTTCCAAACACAGATGTGGTCATAACTACAAGTAACTATTACACATCCAAGCTTTAAGATCAAAACTCAACTGTATAATCTATGTGTAACAACTCTAACACTATAATAAGAGACACTTTTGTCTATCTTGTACAAATCAAGTACTTGCTGGGCCTAACACCACTGATCTTGAAGTTCAGTTTTTTACTGTTGATCACTGCAAGCCTACTCTGCAGAAGTGCTTTTAAGGTGACTGCAGATACATGTATTTAAGAGAGCTGCAGTGCATAGCCAGGCCTCACAAAGGTTTATGACCGTAGCTCACCAACTTCCCAAGTCTGCATCAAGATCACATCTGCTAAAATGCAGAATAAGGAGAAATATTTTCTCCCTATCCAGCTTAAATGCCTCTTGGCTCTGTCAAGAGCTCCAGTTGTACCTCACTTACAAGAAAGATCAAAGGCTTTTTCCTTTCTTTTTTTTTTGAATGCACATCCATAGTCTAATTAACACTTTCAAAACAAACTGCAGAGATCTGATACACCCAAAATAACAAGTTATCAAAAAGACTTTGGGAATAACTGTCTAACTCAAAGTCACTCCATGCACATTCAGTTCTGTTCTTAGGGAGAGCACAGGCATATGACAGAGCACGACAGGACCCTGGAGCTGCTTGCTGCTTGATCTGACAGCAACAGAAGTAGAAATACCTTGGGCTTGTTCGGGTGTGCTCGCACAATGCTAGGAGAGACAGGAGACCCAAAGATGTCGCTTGTCTTCCCACCAGGTGGATTCAAGCGTGGACGAGGCTGAGCAGAACTGGAGTCCTCAAAAATGCCACTTTCTTTTCCTCCTGCAAGGCAGTTGTTAAGACTTTTTTTCTGGATTAATTTTATCACATTATATTTAAAAAAAAATATAAAAATTGAAGGACTTGTACAACCCTGCTGCCTAGGGACTTAGTCCTATTTGCCTAGTTTAAATCCTTTGTTACAATTCACTCGCAGGTCTCAAATTGAGCAACTGCTGACAACTCTACAATACGAAACGGTTTCCTTTCATAATTTCTTAGAATCTCAATTTGGAAAGAATTAAGACTTGAATAACATGCTAAAAAGTCTGTGAACATGCAAATCACTGAAATATTAATATATCCAGAAGTTTGAAGAGATTTGTTGTTCAAACCTACTCAGTATGTAAGAATGCAACATAAAAAGACAGATCCCAGTGCTCCAGTTTAGGAGCACAAAACCATTCTATGCTGCAATTCAGAGGCCAGTCACAGAGAAAGAGGGGGCAGCTTTTACCTGGAGGGTTTGTTCTTTTTGGAATGTTCTGAGGTTTTTCTGATGCTCCAAAGATATTGGATGCCATCCGGTGTGGCCTGCTTGAAGAAGACACTTCTTCTGTACTCCCAAAGAGATTACTAGAATCTCCCCCTGGGGGTTTCAATACCCTATATCACAGAATAAGAAACAAGATATGAAAGTTCATTTAAAATTTATAGCATTCAAAATATTTGATATCCCCTTCCCATTCTCTCCTTGTATGTAACTATCCTGATTTTAATTTACTTTAGGTAATTCTACTATATCCATGAAGTATCTACTTTTCAAGAGCTGTTTTAATATTCTTAAGTTCAGCACAAATAATGCCAACTTCCTGGTCAATCAGCTTAATCATTAAGGTATCTAGGATTAGGTGGAATGATCCTAACACTGCCACCTACACAAATGGCTACACTATCTGTGGTGTTCCAGAAGTAACAGAGATTATGATGGCTACGATTTTAAAAATAACCATTAGAGAATCAGACTTTGTGCTAAACTGCATATACCAACTTTGAATCTGTGATACAATTCATACCCACTGACTTTTAAATAAAGGCAGACATTTCATAACTACTAAAAAATTTGCTAGTCTCAACCATCAGTTATCATAATAGCTGCTGTAGTTTAGAATGGAGAGACAGAATACCAAGAAGTTAATTATTTAGCAGTCAAGCTGCAAATCCATTAAAACTAAAGCTTTGCACCACAGGATATTAAATGGATCTGCAGAAAAAATTGAGCTTACAGCAGAAATCATCTCACTTCTTGAAAACTTACCAAAAGTCATTTGCGTGTCCTCCAGTAGTAATTCCATAGTTAATGCCTAAGTCTTGTTCAACAGACTACAGGTCCCTCCCCAAAAAGGAACCAAATTACTATTGGGAGTAGAATCAGTGGAAATCAATTGGAAAATTAATTGGAAAATTAACAGAAAAAGCACAGGAAAGAGATTAATACCTAAATATGGCTGAAAGAAGTTCAGCACAAAAAAAAGGCCTAGGAGTGCTGGTGGTCAATGGCTGAACATGAGCTGAGTGTGCCCAGGTGGGCAAGAAGGCCAATGACATCCTGGCCTGTACCAGGACCAGGACAGCAACCTCTGCTGGGCACTGGTGAGGCACCTCAAACCGTGGGGGCAGTTTTGGGGCCATCGTGACCATGAAGACTTTAGGCTGGAGCATATCCATAAAAGAGAATGGAGCTGGGGACAGTTCTGGATGAGGAGCAACTGAGGAGAACCTACTGGCTGTGCACAACTCCCACAGCTGATGGGAGACTGCAGCCAGGGGGATTTGGGCACTAACGCCAGGGATGTAAGGAACAGGACAAGAGGAACAGCCCCAAGCTGTGCCAGGAGAGGGCATACCGGGCATCAGGAGGAATTTCTTCACAGGAAGAGATGTTGAACATTGGAATGGGCTGCCCTGGGCAGTGGTAGAGTCACCATCCCTGGAGGTGCTCACAAAATGACTCAATGTGGCACTTAATGCTCTGGTCTAGTTGACAAGTAATCAAAGGTTGAACTTCAGGATCTCAGAGGCCTTATCCAACCTTAATGATTCTGGGATTCTGTATTAAAAATAATTTTTACAGTTACATCTACCAATTACCCACAGTGTTAGCAGCTGAACAAAGGTAGCAGCTTAATTATACTACTTCTAATCTTAACCCTCGATCTAGAACCTAAAGTAACCTCTGCTTTTAAACCGAGAGAACAGTTATAAATTGCAAGATCTTGATCCCACGCTACTTGAACAATTCAGATATAAATAAATTATTACAACCCTTCCTCTCCCTAGCCCTGTGACAGCAAAATGTCATCACAGGTGAGCTACATCAAGTATAAAATGAGGTACCTCTTGGTGACAAGATCTACTCCAGTTTAAGATTTAATTTCACAAAAGTAGAGATATTTGGCTGCTCTGTCAGAAAATGAGCTTAGTGTGCATTTCAGATCTCAAGATGCAGAATGCAGTTTTAGGCCTTTTAGGGAGGAGAGAAAAGTTCTTCTTTTAGTCTGGAAACAGTTTATATACACAGCACTAGCCTCGGAGGGGCTGCCTTTGCTGGCCAATTTCAATATTTTAATTCTTAGTACAATTGTGGATTTAATACACACTTTTAGCTTAAGGAGTAACTAGAATTGCAGCAGACAGGACAACTCCTTGTCCAAAGCACAGGTTAGATCATACAAAGCTTATTTATTTACAATTTAGTGTCCAATAGACTACAGATCCAACTAGCCTCTGTGCTCTCCATGTATTTTAGAAGACTTAAACCCACAATTAAAGCAGACATTGTATAGGTAAATTATGTATTTCAAACATTCACAATGCCTCACCATGAGGCAGTTTAAGTACTTAAAGCAGGGAGACAAAGAAAAGGGAACTCTACAAATAAGTAGTTTGGGAAGGAGTCTCTGTTAAAGTGGACTCCTCTCACATAAGTGAAATTATTTTTTACTTTACCTATTCTTTCCAGCTATTTTTAAACTGCATTTCGTCCTTCTTGCATTCCAACTACACTAAGTATACCAACAAAGAGACTGAAAGGAAGTAAAAAGCTGTTTATACAGCTGGAGTCTCTTACAGCCCAGATTCATTCAATTTATCACACTGTTTGCTTAACACATGCCTACAAGCATAGGAGGGAATAATAAAATAACTACATTCAGATTCTTTAAAAGAAAAATAGCCAGTCATAAGAATCAAATTACTTCTCATCCTTGTAATGGGTTTTAAGAGCTATTGCAGAAAGAAATTCTAGAGAAAATCCATTTTAAGATTAAAAGTCTTGATAATTCAGTAAAGAAACTTCATCAAAATAAATCCACCAATTAATCTTATACTGTCCTTTCATTTTCAGCTTAGTAGCCACACTATGAAAACCCTACTGCTGAATAATTAACCAGAGGCATCACTGGTGGTACTTACAAGATAGAAATCAGCACAAGTACCTTTTCTGCCAGCACCACACAAAATTATGTCCTGACTCTACATACACAAAGTGGATTTACCATCTCAATTTCAAGAACTTCATAATGCTGGGAACCTTCCTTCCAAGCATTACGTAAACTTTCAGTGTCACCAGGTTAATAAAATTTGAACTAATACAAAGTCAGATAACTAAGTCATTGACAGGAATTACCAAAAATAACCTTGAAGTACAGCAACAAAGTCTGTCAGCTGATGCTAACAAGAGGAGAGGGCTTTGCACTTGCTTCCTCCAACCAAATATGTGGGAGACAACAATTTTCTTTCTGTGTAGCCTCTAGAGCACTGCTGGCCTCCCTGTACTACCACGTACTCGGTTCTAGAGCAGTGAGACATGCGGGTCCCTTACACCAAGTAAGAAAATCAGACTTCACCTGTAAATCCTAGCAAAGGAAAACAGCATGCTAAACTCAGTTAGCCAAGATGAGCTGCTCCAACAGAGTACACAGAAATTTAACATATGTACAGTAACATATGTTAAATTATATGTTACTTCAGTTAAAATAAGTTTTAAAACTTTAGTTTATACTTTATAGTCATTTTAATTTACATCAGTATTATGCCAGTTTATACAGAGACATTTTTGTTTCTTGTAGCCAGGTATGTTGGGTCTTCATTCCTTTGGGAAGGTATTGCTTTATTCTTTCAAATCATGAAAAAACAACCCTTTGTCTTCTACAAAATCTGAATCTGTCTCTCTCTCCCTCCCCTCCAGCAAACCAGAAGTTTGTGAACTCCTCTAAAACAGCTAAATCAAGAGCCCTATTCTGCAAGTTTAAAAGCCCCCACTAATTGCTTTGTTCTCTTCTGGCAGATTTGAAGAATTTTAATTAGTTGTTCTGGTATTTTATTTTTTATATTCCCTACGTTCTAAAGCACTTGAATTTGAATGCCCTTTCCTCATTAAGCCTTTCAGCCAACCTATAGTAGATTTATTCATTACTTCAAGACACCCGCTACATAATTGTTTTTAATCCTGCCTGAAAGTTAAACACTGAAGTTTTACCAGTTTTTAGACTGTTCTAATACAGTAGATAAGTGCTGCATTATATATAAGAGACTGGCAGAAAGCAGGTGTTGAGGTTTGGAACTGCAGGCCCTAAAACCAGACCAGAGGTCCTGGGGTGCTTCTGCTGTGGGATCAATGGAGACTGACGGCTCGTTAACCAGCTCACCCACATACAAACAGCAAGCTGTTTTATGCAACCATGATCTTGAGCCGAAAGCCCCAAGAGCGCTGCAGTGGCCCCGATGGGAGCAGAGGAACATGAGCATTGCATTTCCAAGATGGTTGAATTTGCCATTGTCAGCTCTTTGCAGTGGTTGTGAAACTGCTCATACACGGGACAAATCGAGTGTGCATTAATACACTGCGTCTTTATAGCACAACAGCAGAATGAGACAACTCTGTCCTGTTTTGCTTTTAGAAGCTCTTTGACATGCAGTACCATGTTTTATTTTGAAAAAGCATAACTTGCTTAAAAACACAGAGTGTCATTGTTGAAGTTTGAAAACATAAAACTAGGCAGTTAATTCGATTCAGCAAACTACTTGCTTGCTCTTTCACTGTACATATTTAAAGGATCACTAGAAACACATTTCAATGGACAATTAAGTGAAAGCTTTCACTTAAAATCTTCTTAGTATAATTTATTTCTAACAGTAATACCCCTGTACTATGAAGTTCTCAAAATGCAAACACTTGTTTATAATTTTCTAGGCATGATTTTCAGACTAGGAAGACGTTTTTTCCCCACTTTCACAGCTGCTGGTGGTTGCTGCTGTGATTTTGAATAAGGCTCAGATTTAAATGGAGCAACTTCTATGTACCAAGAACTGCAAAAGGATTTGCATTCTCGCTAAACAAAGCTTTGTTCAGGGAATGAGTAAGCCGTGTCTTCAAACCAGGTACCTTTACCCTTGATGGCACAGGCCATGAGTCGATATAGTAAATGCCTCAGAGACCACGCTGCAAACCCGCTAAGGAAGTTCCTGCGGCGCTGCCACAGTCTCTGGTACAGGCTCCAGCCTGCTCTCAGGCACCACAAACACACCCCGACACGGCAACAGGAGGAAGCTGTATGGCCACCTCTGCTCGCTATTAACTAACACGTTGCAATGGTCTGCCTGGAAACCCAATTTATGCGTTAAACGTAGTTTCAAAATTATTATGAAAACAGACCTCAGAGACTACACCAAGGACAGAGCATCCTCAAAAGTCTTCTAAAACCATGTTACAGCTTGGGCCTACTGGGATACTAGAAAACTTACAGCGTTCTCGGACAATTTCGAAACCCTTCCTCCTTCCCCACGCGACAGCCTCGCACATGGATTAATCACTGCACTCACGCACTGCAGTATTCAGAGTTAACTGCCTTCCTCCAAACAAAGCAATATGTTTCAACTTCGTAGGGCGAAAAACAAGCCGACATCTGTAGGCGTTTGTGCACAGAGAGTAGCTGGGGCCCCTCGCTCCCCGTGAGTAGAAACACGGCGGGAGAAGGTGCTCCCCAGCGCTGGGCCCTTCTCTCCGCGCCAGAGACCCTGCAGGAGCTCTGGGGTCGGGCCGGGAGCGGCAACCGTGGGTGCCCCACCCGGCCCTGGGGCTCTCCCGGCGCGCCCGGGGCAGCACCAACGGGAGCGCAATGCGGCCACTCCCCGCCCAGCCCCCGGGGCGCGGGACAAGCAAACTGAGGGACGGCGAAGGCGCCAGCCGCGCACTAGCTTCTATCCGGCGGTACGGCAGGAAGGGGGCTCCGCTTCCTCCCGCCGCGGCCAAGAGGTCCCTCGGGGGAGCCCGATCTCCTCGGTCAGTACACTATATCCCCGACCCAACCCCCTCGGCCCCTGGAGCCTGCACCTCCCGCGCTCGAACAAAGCCCCGCCAAGGGCTCCGCGACGCCGTACGACTCTTCCCCCCGGCCCGCCCTGCTGAGCGTCCTCCACCGCCCCACCTGGAGCTAGGCTTGGCCGGCTCGGCCTCAGCGCCCTGGAACATGGTGGCACTCAGCAGCTCCGCTCCGCAGCCCCGCTCCAACAGCGCCGCGGAGAGGCCGGCCTCCCCGCCTTGCCCGGCTATTGGCCGATTTAGCTGCCCATCATGACGAGCAGCCTATCGAAGGCAGTTAACTCGCTCGAGATCATGCCTGTTCGGCCAGCCTAGCAGAGGGAGGGAAGCTTAAAGCGACCCGCGTCGGCGCTTATCCTTGATGCCTTCCATTGGCCTTTCTGCCCGTCCGTCAGAGGAAACTGCACAGCCATTGGCTGGAGGAAGGGCGGGGCGAGCAGCGGGAGTATATTTAATGCGACGAGGCGGGATAGGGGTGTGGGCTGTAGTAGTGGAGTGGGTTTTGATTCGTGTTTCGGCCTTCTAGTTGAGACTTTTTGTGAGGGTTTCGCCTCGAAATAGCGGTGCGACGCAGAAAACAGAAGGAAGATCATCGTATGGAATAATCTCAAGGAGGACTTCGTAACCTGCTGCCCTACACAGCGTTTCCGAGTTCGAGGATACCCGAGCGGCACGCCCTGAGCCCCGCCCGCAGCCGCCAGCCCCTCAGGCGCAGAGGGAGCGTTTCAGTGCGGGAGATCGAAGCCGCTCCAGCGAGCGCGGGCGACCCGGGCAAGCGAACAGGACATGGATCGGGAAGGGCGCTGCAGCGCAGGCAGTTTGCTCAGTTTTCTGCTCATCACGGTTGCTGAGAGAACTCAAATATATGGTGCCCGCTCAGCAGGGAACTGAGTCCCCTAAACTCACCAAAAAAGATGCGGTCTCAGACTGAAGTCCCAAAAAAACCATGCAAAAACCCTATATAGCCAACCAGACTTCAGGCTGTAGCCAATGGCTGAGCCTGTCAGTGAATTGTATCAGTGATGGGCGGCTGCATTGAAGCGATACGCGGAATAAATAAACTCCACAAGCAGATGTAGTTATGAAGTGGGTATGAATGTCAGCGCCTGGCACAAGCGAGACAGCTGTCGAGAAAACTTGTGCCCCGAGCCTTGGGCTGTCCTCCATCTTTATTCACAAAGGTGTTCCATATGCAATACATTGCACAACTTTGCTATGCATATTCAACCCCTGGCCCCGCCTGTTCTCGCCTCCCATCGTAATCAGATCCACGCCCTTCTGGGCACGCCTTGTTTGCTGTGGTGGTCGCACGGGGGTCTCTGGTGGTCTCTGAGGCTGAAGATTGTGGTCTTCCTCAGGACTGAACTTTGGAACTTTTCTCCATTGCGCATGCGCTTTTGGTTCCTTGGTGCTTATCTGAGTAATCTGTCGGCCTTGATTAGCTTGGAGACAGAGGGGTTCCTTTATCTGGGCTTTTTGTATCTCTTGGTCTTCTCCAGTATTTTTCTTTATGCAAGAAACTTCAGAAATTTGCATTTTCCTATGCCCTTTGTACCATGGCAGAGGTTTCTTAAGTAAAAAGGTTAAAATTTAACACATAGTTCTACAAGCTAAACTTTAAATACTTAATTCATATTGCTAATTCAAGTGAACTCCAAAAATCTCTATTTCAGCATCAGATAAGACCAAGTGGATGACCTGTCCAGCCTGGTAGTAGAGCTACAAGACAAACTAGAAAGGCTGAGAAGTATTAGAAAATCAGAGAGGGACATAGACTGGTGGGACCATTGCCTTCCTAAGACAGGAGCATCCAACAGAAGGGAGATCCTCTATCCATCCTCCAGCAAAGAGCAGGTACCAGTTGGGAAGTGAGAAGCAAGTGAAGAGCAATCCAAACTCAGGGAAGCAAGCAAAGTTCTTCTTTGCCCACCTTGCTTTTCCCTCGCAATACCCTCACAGGCAAACTCAAGAAAAGTGGGTTGGATGAGTGGACAGTGGGATGGATTGAGAACTGCCTGAATGGCAGATCCCAGAGGCTCATGATCAGTAGTAGAGTAAGGTTGGAGACCTGTCACTAGTGGTGTCCCCCAGGGTTCTCTGCTGGGCTCAGTGTTGTATAACTTCTTTATCAGTGATTGGATGAAAGAGCAGACGTGTCCTCAGCAAGTTCACTGCTGATACAAAGGAGTGGCTGATATTTCAGAGGGTTTTGCAGGCCTTCAGAGGGACCTCAGCAGCTTAGGGAGGTGGGTAGAGAAGAACCTTCTGAAATTCAACAAGGGGAAATGCAGGTCTTGCACCTGTGGAGGAACAGCCCTGGTCACCAGTACAGGCTGGGAGCCAACCCACTGGACAGCAGTGCTGCAGAGTAGGATCTGGGTGTCCTGGTGCATCTGTCCCTGACCAGCTGTGTGCCTTGGGGCCAAAAAGGGCAATATTGTCCAGGGCTTAGAAAGAGTATTGCCAGCAGGTTGAGGGAGATGATCCTGCCCCTCAGCTCCTGGTGAAGCCACATTTGGAGTATTGTGTACACATCTGGGCCCCACAGTACAAGTGAGACATGGAGTGCCTTGATCACTATCAGAGTGCTATTAAGTTGGTCAAGGGTCTGGAGAATCTCTCTAATGAGAAAAGGCTGAGGGAGTTGGACCTGTTGACCTTGAGAAGAGATGGCTGAGAGGGGACCTTATTAATGTGTATGAAATGTGTACCCATCTAAAAGGTGGGTAGTGAGAGGATGGACCAGGCTCTTCTCTTTGGTGTCAGCTAGTAAATCAAGGGGCAAAGGCACCAACTGATGCCCAGGAAGTTCCACGCAAACATGAGGAAGAACTTCTTCACTGTGCAGTGACTGAGCACTGAACAGGGTGCCCAGTGAGGGTGTGGAGTCTCCCTCATTGGAGATATTCCAGAACCATCTGGACACAGCCCTATGCCATGTGCTCTGGGATGACCCTGCTTGAGCAGGGAAATGGGATCAGATGAGCCACTGTGGGCCCTTCCAACATGATCAATTCTGTGACTGTTGTGTGTTGGGCCCTCGTCTGGCCTTGTCAGTGTGCACAGGGGTTTATCAGCACAGCGCTGAGCAGAGTCTGGCTGCTGTGCTCCACCCTGCTCCCTGCACGTGTCCATGGTTTGCTCGCAGCTCTGTGGCTGAAGCATGGCATGGCTGCCACGTGAAAGCCATTGGCTGTCTGGACAACCTGCATTGGGAGGAGATGGTGTAGCTGCACCTGCAGAGCCAGCATTTACATGGCCTTTCTAACCATTTGTCATTGACTGTGACATTACAAGCTAACATTTTCAGCTGAAGGTTTTATTTCACAGCTCTACAGCTGTGCTTTGTCAAGAATTAAACTTAGAGGCATACATTTAGCAGCATAGTGCTGCTTTTGTTTTGAAGGACTGAAAAAACCAAATCAAATAAAGCTAACAAAAAAGCATGAAACATATGTACTATCACTGCAGTATCTTGTTTTGCTAATAACTTTTCAGACTCATTCCTTTTGTTTTTACAGTCTTAAATTTTGGTCATTAAGGGCAAAATTAGCTAAATTGTGAGAAAGATTCAGTTGCAGCTTTGACAGAAGGTGGAAAAGATTTAAAGGTCTTTTATACTGACAAAAGCTCACAACCAGTGGAGGGGTGAAGCTGCACAGAAAGAACTCAAACTTGGTCATAGCCCAATTTTCTCAGTAAACAAGCAGGAGAGATAACTATGCACTTTTTAGATGGGAAGGAAGTATCAAAATAATACTAATAAAACTTATGTTGAGTTTTTTAGAACATTCTTCATTTCTGATCAATTATACACTTGTACTTTCTCAGTGCAACATTAAAGCTGCCTTTTTGTATGTCCTAGACACCAAAATCCTAAAAGTGTACAAAAAGGAGTTAGTTACTGATGTAGATCACAGGAACTTCAGGCCTGGAGCCCAACTTGCCCAAAGCAGGCTGTGCTGGCTCAGCCCACCTTTCTATGGGCTTTAGTTAGTTTTATCTTGGAAAGCTCTGAAGATAGACTACGCAACCCTATCAGGGCTTCCTGTCCTTGAGTGTCCTAGGGTGAAAAGGTGTTTCTGGTAGTGGCTACATAAAACTTGATGGCCTGAATGCAACCTCCACAGCCAAGTCTCTGCCTATCTGAAACTCTGAATAGGAAAAAAAAAAAAATAAAACCCCCAAGGTACATTTTTATTGTACCTTCTTGGTGGTGGTGGTGGTTGGAATTTTTTTGGTGATTGTCTTGTTTGTTATTCTCTCTTTCTCCCCCTTGTTTCTGGTGCCCATGGCCCAAGACAGGCCATTCATGATAACCAGCCCTCTGGTTTGTCACATCTCTGAAGCTCACCATGAGCAGACACTACTGAGAATGGAAGCTATAAAGCAAAAACAACCCTACCAAAATTTTCTCTGATCATGGTGAGAATCATCAAAATTCTGGGATGGGAAATGCCAATGGGAGTTAGGCAACTGATTTCACTGCAATTAAATCACCCTGAAAGACTTGGCCTTATGGAAAAATCTTAACTCCCACCCCCACAAGGCCATGATCATGTAAATAAAGCTTAAATGAAAAAAATCGGAGAGGACATGAACAGCAAGGAACACACTGGACACAAGTTAGACCAAGTATTAGTATGTATTTATGCACAAGAATAAAAACAGCTTTACAAGTTGAATTGGAAATTTAAACAGAAGAAGTTTAACAGCTTTTGTATATTATATTAAATAACCAAAACACCTTTTTCCAAAATTGGTAAAGAATAAATAATATAATTTACAGTATGGTACAAAAAATAATCAGTAAGGACAGGCATTTTGCTTTATACATACACTATATAGGTATATTTATAATCTATAAAACAAATTCACATCTCAAACAAGCCAGAAACCTTAGATGATATGGCTTAACTATTATTAAAAGAAACAGCATTACATTCTGCTGCCAGAACCGTAAGCTCTAAAGCAGTTATCATGTTCAATAATTAATGATAACTTATTGCCGTAGTGCTTGCCATGGTTTCACTTAGGTAACATTTACAACTTGCTGTGAAATTAACAGACTGAAAGGTCTGAAAAGGTTAAAAAAAAGTGCAGTACTTTCCTTATAAATGCATCTGAAGTCTGAGCGTAGAAAACAAAATGCAACTGAATTTCCACTCT